AATTTTCGAAGAAAATCGTAGAACAGTGGCTCAAAAAACCACTTTTCTACGATTTTCCTCAAATTTTCGGCCATTTTCCAACTGGCGCAGCTGGCGCGAAGCAATGCGCCACCCCCTTCGAAAAAGCTAAAGACGGGCCTGCAGACAAGCGTGTGTGGGGTGATGGTGTTGAAGAGTTAAGACGCACCTGAACATCTGGAAGAACTTGATGATGCGGCATAAGAAATCCCCGCCGAGCCACTGCACGGTGATGTTCCAGATCCCGTCGGCCAGGAGACAGAATACCGATACCGGCAGGTTAGCCACGAACAACTGCAGTAACTGCCACAAGAAATACAATTACTGGAACAGCAATTAATTTGATTCTAAATGTCATGTTTTGTCATGTGTAGGAATCGTATCTTTATTGTATCGTACTGGTCAGGAAAACAACTGAAAGGAAACTGAGGAATCGTAACTAGAGAACAGGGAAAACAGAAGAGAAGTTGCTAAGAAGACAAGGACAAAGGACAGAAATAGGAAAGTATTAGAAGGACAACAAACACGTGAACTCAGTATACTACACTAAAGGAAATGGTCCGGTACATGGTGTCAAAAAATGGGATACATACACAAAAACTTTCGCTTTCGCGCACTCCGAATCACTTTTTGTGTAAGACTTTATTTCTTTCTAAAGCTTAATGAGTCGTGTACATTGATTCGAATACCGTTTGCGCTCGCAAAATCCGGTTGCCGAGATATGGCGAACTAAAATGGGTGAAAAGTTTAAATGCATAAATTTTTAAAATTCAGTTTAAATTTATGGAAAAATGATATGAAACTGAAATTTGTTCTCCTTCGACTTTATGACCATTTGTCTTTTACAGCATAATTTCAAGAAGGTCGGGTAATAGACAGATTTTCGGTACACGTACACAACAAAAATTTGTTCTAAAATTAAAAAAAAAATTTGCTGTGAATCTGATATTGGTTCACTTTCGAATTTATGGCCTTTTTGATTTTTTAAACAAGGTTTCAAGAGGATTGAGTAACACGAGACTTTTGGTACACAACAATGCATTTAAACGTTCCACTCATTTTAATACGACATATCTCGGCAACCGGATGTTGCGGTTATCAGAACAATGTATACAAATCACCTCGCTTTAGAGCGCCATAAAGTATTAAAACAGAGTGGTTTGAAGTGCGCGAAAGCGAAAGTTTTAGTGTATGTATCCCATTTTTGACGCTATGTGCCGGGCCATTTCTCTTAAAGAAAACAGTTAAAATGCGTTGAGGTGCACAAAGAATCTGATACTCGTAATTACTGACCGATTTGCTTCAAATTCTACAATGCGATCAGTGTAAAGATCGCGTTTACACCATTTCACTATCATTTTAATTCAAAAATGAATATTAAAAGTTTTGACACACACTACCGTAACGTTCCAGCTGATGCTGTCAACGAAAATTCCCTAATTAAATTATAATTTTTTTATTAAGTACTGAAGTGTTTTGATATTGTTCTATAATAAAAGTAGTAGTCGTTGTTGCTAAACATTTTTTCCCCATGTTCCGGTTCATTCTAAAAACTGAAAAAACGCTAAGATGTTGGGCTTTATGTAAAAACAATCTTCACGTATAATCGTAGTAATGCGCATTTACATGCACAATTTTAAGAAGACTGTCTATAATCGACGGTGAGACTTATGGTACACTTACAGAAACTTTTTGGATTTCATTTCGCTCAATAACTCCCCAACCGGATATGGCGCGCACAAACGGTTTTCGTGCAAGTATGTACAAATCATTTGGCTACAGAATACATTGTATTATAAAACAACGAAAAAAATCTTTCAGTGCGCGAAACGAAAGTTGGTGTGCATGTACACGCGTTTGGTGGTATTTATCCGGGTCACTACCCTTAGCTGAATTTAACGATCAACAAACTGTTCCCGCATTGACGGCGTACTGCAAGTACAATGTACAGCGAAATGGAACTTGTTGCGTTCGGTGTAGGCTTTCGGTTTCCATACGAGGCAACAGCCGGGTGTTCTCGAAGGCGCACCGAAGACGAACAGCTTGCTAAATGGTGGCTCTGGTTAGATCACATCAGAAATTAAAGAAAGCGTAAGTAAACCTGTGCCATTACATAAGAACATCCAAGTAGTTACTATAGCTAGTACGCACTATTGTGCCCGAAGATTGCCCCGACGAGCGGTCTGACGTAGAGCTGTGCTGGGAAGAACGTACAGGAAAGAGTGCACCTGCGGTGGAAGACCGGAGCAACCAACGCTTGTGGTCGGATATGCTGACTGCCGGGAAACTGGAAGCCTTAAAAGAAAGCGCCGACGTTATTGCCTCTGCTCGTCTGTTGGCTGCCTCTGCTAAGGATGCCAGTGCCTGGTTGTTTGCATTGCCGGTCGCCAGCCTTGGCACACTGCTGGACGATGCCGGTCTGCGGATCGCTGTTGCTTTGCGGATGGGGGCGCCTATTTGTAAAGAGCATAAATGTCGGTGTGGTGAAATGGTTGATACATGCGGCTTACATGGATTGTCGTGCGTCAAAAGCCAAGGAAGGTTCAGGAGGCATGCGAGTCTGAATAGCGTGATTCAGCGTAGCCTGGGATCAGCAAAGGTGCCGTCAATCTTGGAGCCTCCCGGACTGTGCAGACTGGACGGGAAGCGGCCAGACGGCTTATCACTCTTCCCATGGAGAAATGGCCTCCCTCTGATATGGGATGTAACAGTTTGTGACACATTCGCTACTTCGTATATAGCTGGCTGTTCAGAAGCAGCGGGATCGGCTGCTGAAGACGCGGAAGTGCGGAAGCGGAACCTATATTCCGAACTCACTGATCGGCATTTTTTCCAGCCAGTGGCATTCGAAACTATGGGTAGTTGTAGCGAAAGTACCCACCAGTTCATCAATGAAGTCGGCCGGCGTATCAAAGAACAAACGGGAGAAGCGCGCGCTGTTCATTATTTGTGGCAACGTATAAGTGTGGAAATTCAGCGCGGAAACGCGGCTTCTGTCCTGGGGACGGTCGGGTGTTCTCGAGAGTTAGAAGAGTTATTTTTCTTGTTCTGATTATTGGGTATTTAAAGTTTTAACGTAAATGGCATTGGCTTGTACAAGTTGATAATAAAAAAGCATTATCTGTTACTATAGTGTGAGAAGGACTGGTAACCAACCGTTTGACGTCATCACTGTCGTATACACGGGAGGGCGGCTGCCACGGTGACAGATGCGCGTTTTTCACGGTTTTGGTCAGTTTTTTCAGCAGAGTTCTCTTCTCTCCTATTTTTAGCTCCCGAAATTAAGGTTTCTATATTCAATATAATCTGTCAAAAATATCAGAAAGCTTTTGAGGAGAAAAAACTTCAGAATATGTATTAAAAAAGACAACAAAGTCTGTGGGACTATGGTAAGCATTAGCCCAGCAGTGCTTTCTGTATGCGACAGTGATGACGTAGTCGACCGTTGCACAGTCCGTTCCCAGTCCTTCTGGCTATAGTAAGTTCTAGGAACATCTAAAAAGATCTAAGAAGCCTACGAAAATTAACGGAATACATTTAGGATGCACGAAGGAAACTGTCTGATATGCTACGTACAAAGAATGACCACTTAACAATATTTTCACCAGTTTCCCGCTTTTTCTGATCCTACATTCTTAGCCACAGAGCAATCTTAATAAACTACACTTTTTCTTGTGGGTGGCCCTGGATATCACGCATTCATTATACTGTATTTCTATCGTGTGTTCCTTGTGAAACCAAATTCCGATACAGCACCAAAGCTGAACGACGTTATACAGTGAAAAAAGCGCAATAATGAATGGCGTGATTTTGTAATTCCTGCGATATCCATGTATTGCAGTGCATACTAGTAGGAAAGTAAACCTCTAGAAAAGCAAAAACAGTTCATCGAGATTGCGACTGCACTCGACTGTACCAAGAACACAGGCAGCGTTGCCCCGTTGTATTTCTAAACTGCAACGCTGCAACAAAAACTGCTTCGCACGGCTTTCTCCAGTCTGCTCCCGAATACGTTTGGCCAGATCCGAGATAAAACCACTAGTGCTTGGTCCACAGGATCCCATAGTTTCGAAAGCAAAAGGTCCACAGGATCCCATAGTTTCTCCAGTCTGCTCCCGAATACGTTTGGCCAGATCCGAGATAAAACCACTAGTGCTTGGTCCACAGGATCCCATAGTTTCGAAAGCAAAAGGCTGTACAATGTATCGATCCCTCAACTTCTCATATTTTCCCAGTTTTCGAATCTCAGCGGCTTATTGCATACTTATGGCAATAATGATTAGTTAACATGACCTCAGTTTACGCAGTCTGGAATCACGCTGGAATTCGAGTATCTGATTTGTGTAGAAAGCAGGCATTTTGGCGGAGGTTGTTTGTTTTGTTGTTGTTTATCTGTTTTTTGGTTAGATGGGCTGGTGCACGAGGGCCATTCCAAAAGTTTTTAACACTCGTGTGCCATCGTTCACTGCAGCAAATTTCTTCTTCTTCTGTATCATAAAATATATTTCTTTTAAGCTAGGTAAATCCATACACTCGTACCGTACAAATGCGCAATAACATTACGCGGTAATGAAGAAATTGCACGCATAGGGCAGCGAGCATATTGACGTACTCGTACAAAAGCTGATCACCGCATTGCTGAAAATCATAATATTATTAATTAATTGTGGGTGCAGGAATTACATCAAGGTAAAATTTAATTAATATATCGCTGCCGCTTGATGTCATCGTTCGGGATTGAAAGACGCAGAGGATTTTGTTATGTTGGGTTCTGGTCATTAAATTTTCTGTGCGTGTGTGTTGAGTTGTCCTCCTTAAACGAAGCCCGATTGTGAGAACGTGAGTAAGATGCTAAATTTCTGATGCTGTTTTCTTTCTCATGATTAAAAAAGCCGGCTGACGACAAATAAAATTTACTCTCTTTTCTTCCGCGTTCCAGCTCTTTTTACATAAATTATTTTATATACATAAACTGTGTCGGATTCGGCGAGCTGTGCATCTAGAAAAGAACGGTCAAGCATCAAATAATTTGTCGTAATCGTCGCCACCAAATTATTCACAGACAGCTGTAGCACAAACGGTTTGCGCACGGGATGTACAGGTCAAGCTATGCTAAGCAATAAATTAAAAAAATCATTTAAAATGTGATACACGCTCTCTTGAAAACATTGGAAGAGAATACAAAAGGTCTCTTTATGGTGTAATCCCACTGTTTATTTCTCCAGGTGGAATGGCGGGTTAATAAAAATCCTCCGAAAATTATGGGGTTGACAACAGAAAAACTCATACCTAAAATGTCACAGAAAATATCAAACGTCGAACTGCAACAATTTTTTAATTTAAAAAATCAATTCCGTTTTGCTTAGAGATCAACTGTTATTCGCAAACGGAACGGATTTAAATATTAAAAATATTGCGAAAATTTAGACATTTTAAAATAATAAATAAGTGCAGGAAAATATTTTTAATGAAACATATTATTGTGTTTAATTAAATTTATTTTTTATTATGCTGTCAGTTTATTTTCAATTTATTTATATACATATTTGTAGATATTTTTGTTTTTTGTATTTTTTATATGTATATTCATATTTTTTTTAAATATTAAAAATATTGCGAAAATTTAGACATTTTAAAATAATAAATAAGTGTAGGAAAATATTTTTAATGAAACATATTATTGTGTTTAATTAAGTTTATTTTTTATTATGCTGTCAGTTTATGTTAACTTTATTTGACATACATATTTGTTGCTATTTGTTTTATTATCATTAAGCTCAGCACTTACCTAGACAAAAAATAATAGTCAGCGTCTGACTGGAAATGCTCCACTGGAATAAATACCCCAGCATTCCGACATAGTACGGCACTGTAATGCATGAGCACACAATCAGACACGGTGTTGTTTACGGGTGAATTAATCCCCAAGGAATTACACGCGGGGGTCATTTTCGGTGGTAGTATTAATCCAGGCAAAAAGAGTATTATTTTGATCATTACGCCGTAGTGAAGTGTTATTGTGCTGATGTGGCTATATATGGCTGTTATTAAAACTCACCCCAGCAGATAACGAAGCTAGCAGCCGTGATGAAAGTCATCCACAAGGAGATTTGCCGGGTCTTGCGGTATAGACGTTTTCCCTGGCCCGAACTGGCCGGCCGCAGCATCGCCGTGTTTTGCATGCTGGACATGGAGATGCTGATCTCTTCTAGGTAACACATACACATTCGCGAATTAGTGCCAGAATCTACACAAAAAAATCAATAAAAGTATTTCATAAGTCAGAATCTGGTTACTGCAAGAACTGCATCTGCTAGCTATTCGCCAAGATATTAAGCAAACAGCCGTTAATTTAAATTATTTTGCTAACCAATAGGAAGTAAAATTTCATTCCTGTAAAATTTCATTCGGCTTAACAAGCGTACGAGTTCTCCAAAAAAAAATCCATTAGCCAGTTTTTTTACTATATAATCATAACGATCATTAACCGGAAATGCTGATTTAACCAGGATAGTTTTTAGACTTATTTTTATTTTAATACTTATTTTACCGTTATAATTTGAGTAGCACTAATTTTATTACGTTTAATATCACTAATGCTTTGTTAGATTTTGCTACGGTCTGCGAAGTTTCGAGTGCTATTTTACGCCTGAATAATAATTAAATCCCGTAAACGTTTTAGGTGCGCTCACTGCTCAGTACATTTAAGATTAATCTGACGTCAATACGTGTTCTCAACGCGCGAATCTCTTTTGCACCCATAATTATATAACAACCCGCAAAACGCGCTAATCTCCACCTTGGTCGTCAATGGCCCCTCATTCACAGTGAATGGCCCTTGATGCCGGTATTTAACACATCCCGGAATCTCCGCCGGAAATCGCAAGGGAGTGCTACCGGTTGCAATTATTGAGTGCTTACCGAGATTCCCGGCCGCAATCTGCGATTCGTGGGTGATGGCCACGGAGATGACCAGATAGCAGATGATAATAATGCACAGCGGCACCAAGCACATGACGATTAACGTGGCCATGGTGTAGGCCAGCTCTTGATCGGTACTCGAATAGAAACCGTGCGTAACACACTGGTAGAATTTGGCGCAAATCGGTGCGCGTTCCGTGTGGAAGATCACCGCCTGCAATTATAGTCGACGTTAAATGTGTACTTTTTCGGTATGTTTCTTCGTTGAATCCTGATCGTTACTGGACACGTTACTACACTTCTGCAACAACGCATTCCTTGAGAATAGACATTTTTGCGTAAAAGCCGAACATTAGCCATAATTTGTGTCAGCCAAATTGCCGCTTTGCGACATATCATCAGCGTATGTACATCGAAAACCGTTCAAGCAATCAGAATACTCAAAATACGACGTCACACTACTCGATAACATATGAACATGATCCTAATCAAAAAAACCGGTTTGTCGGCTGTCAGTTACTCGAAAATTTAATTTAATAATATAAGAATTTACGATAAACCATTTTTTTTCGTGTGTGTATCGATGTTTTTTGCATAAAAAAATATTTCCGCAACTTGTTTTGTGTTACAGAATTTTCCGCCTTGTAGCGCGCGGCTACATGATTAACGCAAATTACCATGTGAATTAAAACTCTATTTTATTCAAATTTTTTTAGATTTTTACTGTACTTGTGCGTACCTATCTGAACAGTAATTTAATGGGATTAAATTTTTTAAAAGGTTTTTTTCATGTGTTCATCAACAAAGCGAAAGATTCGTGTGTCAAATCAGAATAGTACGGTAGAGCAGACCGTTAGAAAATATTTTGCGGAAAACATCGACGCACCAAGCTTCCTCTATCTTCATCAAAGATTAACCGTTTTGACGTCACTTTTAAATTGTTCCAGATTTTTTTCCCGCAGTTTTAAAAGCACCGCCAGTAGCTGTACTCCACCACCTGACGTAACCTTTACCCCGCTAATCTTTAATTCCGAAAATCTTTCCGAACAGTAGGGGAAGGGATGACGCACAGACACACACCGGGTTGGTGTTGCAATATACAAAGTAATATATTATTGAACGATAATTAATTTACCTGCGGCACACTGCACAGCGACGCGGCCAGCCAGGCAAATCCGCTGATGACTTTCACCCGCGATTGACTCTCCGACTTATTGGATTTACTCAGCGGAAAGGTCACGGTAATGCAGGTCTCAATGCTCATCCCGGTGAGGATTAAGGTGGTGGCGTATAAACTGTAAGAATCCGTGCAGCGCATTTGATCGCCCGTTACGTTTGTAAAGGCCAACAGCACTTAACGAAATGTATACGCTGCGTGTGTGTGCGTAAGTGTACTGGCCGCAAGGGATTTGCCGGCCGACTAATTGCTGCGTTGGTGCCGGGATAAGCGCCGTTTATCCCGTTTTGGGGCTAAGTCGGCGTCTCGGTGGAATTGCTTAACTGCAGATTGTCTTAATGCGTTTGACAGAAAAAAATGGGTTTGTTTGGATAAATCGTGTATGATTTCATTAAGCTAACACGGACGGCGACTTCCTCATTGTCTTGGAAAGATTAGCAAAATGTCATCGCATTGACTGAATTATGGTTAATTTACCGGTGTTTAGCATACTGCGCATCAGTCAAAACGATCGTCAATGATTTGTTTTATTACAACCTTGTTTATGCTGCGTCATTTAGATCGCTTTATTTTTTCAGGTCTTTCTTTACGTTTTCAGGTTGACAATTCATTTTCTGTTTGTTTCTTTTCTTCCGATTCAGTTTTTAAAAGCATTTTCTGTATGCTTTTTAATAGATTTTGTATGGCAGACCGAAAGAAAACATCTTACAAAAGATTTACTGAAATTGGCAAAAAAGTGCACTTATTTAGGTTATCATATAATTTTCGTGGTGTTGAGAATTTTGAGATTTTCAAAGTAGTTTCTAATTTTCTTCTGTGCTTTCCAAAAATAATATTTTGAAATGATTTTTTAAAATAATTTGTATATGACTTTTAAACCGAATCCGTGCTCTAATTTTTAAAAAAAATTTTCCAAGTGCATATTTGTTGCGGTTTCGAATCCAACTAAATGTTATCGCTTCGAGATACAAAAATTTCTGCTGAACTAGCCAAAATTAATAGCGGTAGCAGTTTTTATATTATCGCTTTGAATTTGAATGGCTTTTTTTTATTTTGTGCGCCTTTGGTAGATTTTTCCTTAACTGCTTAAAAACTTTTAAATTCTTCAAAAATCTGATTTCTAAGAAATTAATCTGCTGTTCCTTCATGTAGTTCTTCATAAACGTAGTAAACATTTCCCCGTCGAGTCTCGATGTTGATCTTGCAACGGATACCATAAAAACGAAGTGTAAAGCGCGTTAAAATGATAAATGCCGATACTTAGCGTGCACGGCCCACCTGCGGAGCGTTTGTCTGCCCGATTACCATTAGCAACGCCTCCAGACGGGACCGGGCGCACAATGGGCACGCACCCTCCCCAAACGGCCGCCATTAATATACTGTACCGTCTATACTCTACAGCGAATTCCCACCGTGCCGCAGAAAGGCCCGAGCGGTCTCCCGCTGCGCGAACCAGCACCCTCGGTGTAGTCAATACCACCCGCTCATTAAACCGCGCCAGCTGCACCGCACTGCACACATGCACGACCCGGAAGTCAACATCCACACGCAGCACTGTATTGTCCAACGGAGCGTGTGTGGTGTGATGGTGTTGAAAGAGTTAAGACGCACCTGAACATCTGGAAGAACTTGATGATGCGGCAGAGAAAATCCCCGCCCAGCCACTGCACGGTGATGTTCCAGATCCCGTCGGCCAGGAGACAGAATACCGAGACCAGCAGATTAGCCACAAACAGCTGTAGTAACTGCCGAAAAAAAATACAGACAATTTAGCACCTATTTACCATTCTAATTATACGCTAATTAGCGTACAGATACAGTACGGTAAAAAAAATTGCGGTAGTAGCGGTGTGTGTAAAGATCAGCCTATCAGGGCTGACGAAATTGCAGCTAAATAAAGCATGTACAGAATTCCTTGGGTGCATAACTCGGCAGTGATTCTTGGAAGGGGTACTAATTGCAATGATTTTAAATTTAAAGGTCGTTTAAGCAAGCAAAGTCGTTAGAATCGTTTTGTACTGTAGTTCGCACGCTTGAATAATTCACTTTTATGGGTTGAACGGGGATGATTGACATTAAATTTTGACAGCAATGGTAATACACACCCATGACACATGATGCTAATAATTTTATGATCGTATCAATGACCTAGCCCACTGCAATTCTAAACGCGCCCACATTCTTCCCATTACATATTAATTATTAATACCAGCTCTATGACATCTTCATGGAATACCTACTGCCAATAATGTTTAAATTACGATTTAAAAAAAAATTCAACGTTTAAATGTCTAATGAATGTACTGCCCAGTGGTCACTGGTCGCAAAAGCTGCTGACGAAACGCCATTGATTGACGTTCAATATACTTCGAAATGTTTCTGCAATTAACAATCAAAGCAAATGGAAATCGGCGGGTAAAAAAGTAAAAAATAAAATCAATTCTATATAACTGGAACAAGTTCCATGCGAATAAAGCTCTTTCACTGGGGTGCAATGGAGAGGTGGTTTTTTGCGTACCATTGCAATAAAGAATTTAGACTTCATAATTATTTATAATTCCACATTGTACGAGTACAAGCCGGTTAGTACAGATCTGTAAAGTGCGCTACTATAACTTATAGCTGTGTCTGTATCCACAATAATGATTAGAATTTTATTTTTTTTAACACCGCATGTGTTTGATTTGTTGACAGATTCTGCTTTAGAAGCCCACCTCAAATGAAGATCCCTCTGAATGGTCATTTTTGCAATACTCTATCTTTAAAAAAAGTTTATTTTTTTTTTTGAAAAAATGAAAAACATTCCATTCAGAACCTTTATGAAAAAAGGTTTACGCTGGGTCATATTGTGGTATCTATCGCCGTTAACCTCAACCGAAACCGGATATAGCAACACCTGATAGGTACACCTGCACTACAGGATGTTGCCTTGCCCTGCAGCACGTTTTCTACACCTACAAGCAAGATTTCAAATGGGCTGGGTGAAGGAACAGCGAAAAATACAAATTAAATAGAGGTTACGCTAAGTACGATACGACGTTTCAAGCATTTGGCATGGCTATTGGCTGGTGCTCTCCAAATACTGAAAACAGATACATTCGTTTAAATATTATTTTTTACTAAGTTTATAATTTTGTAATTTGTTTGTAGTTGTGAATCGGTCATTTCGTAAACTATTGTAGTGTAGTGGCTACTACGTACGGATAGTGGTAATATCGAGGCCTATGGGCCAGAAGGACGAAGCTGAGAAGGTACCGGGTAGTGCACAGTCTGCTGTATCAATATATTTTTATTTTTACTCTGGCAATAGCCAATTAACATAACAACAGGCCTGAGCTGATAGACACTGATAAAAATTCCAGTTTTAATATGCTGGCATAAAACGGCAGCAGAAGCGCGTATGTGCAGTTTATTTGCAAACTTGTTGTCCGGCACTCCAGTTTATTCGAGAAAATTATAACGGATGACTGGATGGTTTAACTGTACAAATATTTATCCAATTTTCTCTTACATAGACACACGTCAATCAATCCATACCGCATAATTATTGTATGCCAGACTAAAAGCGCATTTTTTCCCGCCACCTGATATTTACTTTACTGTCTGCATATTCCAAGGAAAACTGTTTGTTTACTCACCAGAACGCTCAGCGCCGAATGCCGGTACATGGCATTTTTCAGCAGGAACGCAATCATACTGGCATTCAGCACCACACCAAACCCGGCTAAAATCAGCAAGATACTGATGTAGTTGTATCTCTGGACCAGGTAGCCGGGATCACTCTGGTTCAGGAACATCAGCACTTCCGTCGAACTATTCATCGTACAGTTCAGGCTGGCGTAGAATACCGCTTCTTCTTCCGTAAGGTCCATGATCAAAATATAAAAAAAATTAATGTAAAAATAACAAACACGACTGGAAATATCGCAGCGGCGCGCGTCGCTGCACCGACCGGGATTATTGTCGGCTCAAATGACTGTAACGGAGTATTCCCACGGAATAACAAGCAGGAAACGAACTGATGTGCACGCTACTTAACAGCGAAGGGGAAATTAACTCGTGTTATGCCGGCTACTGAGATTGCAGTGTTGCGCTGTTGATCAGAAATATGGTGATTGTTGTTGGACGTGACAGTCGGTTCAGAGCAGCGCGTCTCTCCATCAAATGCCTATCTCGTTATATCGACCAGCCTCCCTCCAGCCCACACACACACTCTCCGCCAACGTGGCAATCAAAGCCTGGCAAATTCCCTGTAGCAACACAGGACGACAGTTCTACGTTGTACCAGGAAAACAGGAAACACGCCGGGTTTCCTTCAACTACATACAATGGCAATAAAACACGCGGTTATTTCCCTGTTCGGTAATTATGGAGAATACGCTTGGAGTACCGGAAATGTGCTGGATGATTTTTTACGAGTTAATCAGCGCAGAGACGGCTATCCCAACTTATATGTCAATTTTACGTACGGCGAAATTCAATTAGTCGCGCACCAGTAACCCAGGATGGAGGATGACAATGCGGAGAGAAATGGGTCTTCTTTGGCTGCGACGTAATCGGCAGCGGAAACGGGTACATGCTCTAACGAGAATTAAATAGGACCGGTTAAATGGGAAGGAGCAGCCGGACATGCCGAGCGAAGACATAATGTCTGCCATCGATCCACCGGAAACAACATGTTGGCTTATTTGATCCTCACCGGAAGCATTACATGCTTTGCCACTTTGCTGCTGCTGCGGAGTAAGTCAATAGTCTCACTCAATCTTCCACTCCCTGCACGGGCTGGCAACCCCGTGGAGAGGGGGAGTGTTTAAAGCAGCGAATAAGAAAACGTCTCCCAGTTCAAGTTAAAAACGAAGATTGAGAGAGATTTCCAGAGCTTTGCGCGTCCGGAGTTGTTCTTTTACGGAATAAGATACGCAAAATTTTAAGTTGTTCTGAGGAAATTTTATTACATACATTTTAAAACTGTTTTCTTATGACAACGTATATCCGCGATAGGATGAAAGAAACAAAAAATTTACTTTTGAAAAGTTTTACTTTTTTTGAATAGCTATAATGAACTTCGTTTTATGGAAATGCACGAAATAAATTTGTGCCTTTCTATGGCATCAAAAGTTGAAATTCAAGTTAGTTTGGTCGGGGTGCGTCCACGGTGAAGCTACACCAGCTATTTAGCTGGTCTACGCCGTAGACCGTAGTTGCAACTCTGATGAGTACAGCGACCAATCAAGCCGCAAGGCGGGGCCAATTAGCTCCACGGAGTTGCAACTCCCTGCGGGGAGTTGAAGATTGAGTGTAACTAATAGAAAGACTGCCGGCTGCACCTCAGCGTGTGGAAATCAGGCTAGGCTCTTTCGCGCTCCGCCGTACCGACCGCTAATTATGATTAGCGGGCGCCGGTGCGTTCTTCCGCGCTGCGCTGCGGATAAAACGCTTTTCCGGTTGTTTCATCTTTTGCAGGTCAATGATGTTAAGATAAATCGGTGCAACCGGTTCAAGATTTCCGGTTGGGTTTGTCTTGAATACATATATATTTGCCGGTTTATTAATATGTTTTACGTTCTACTTGTCGAAATTCCCGGATTAAATCGTGCTATATCTTTAGTACATCTTTCAGAGATTGATTTAATATATAAAATTAATTCCATACTTAATCCCATCTACATATTTTGAAAGCGGCTTATAAAAGCCATCACAGTGACACAACCATGGGAAAATTCGACATAGAGGCAATACGTAACAGCCAGAGAAAACCGCTCAGATAATGATTTGAACTTTTGCTAATAAGCGTGCGTTTTGCTGGAGGCGGCAGTTTCTCCTACGATCCAGTTGTAAACTGTCCCAAATTTCCAACAGATTACTTTTTTAACGCTTGACATATTTTTCTGAAAATTTTTTTATGGCACTGAGAACTTCCTGACCGATGAGAAATGTCAGACTATCAATCAATACACACTTATATGTATTATGTAGATAAATAATATTGTGCTTGTGAATCGCGTTGGCGGGTAGAACAGAAGACTGAATGACGCACTTAATATAATTATCACCGCACAAATTTTTAGTGACGTTATAATAAAATAAAATTAAAGTAATATACGAAAAAGTAATTAAATTAATATATAAAAATTAATAGAATTATACACCAAATTAATGTGGAGCAGAGCTACAGTATATCGAAATTTGGAGTAAAGTTACGTTATAGAATTAAAGTGACAAAATTGATATACGTAAAAGGGAAATCAGTTTCAGTAAAATTAAATAAATTAAATACAAAATTTTAAGAAAATTACAGATACGAGTACAAAGTGATATCCAAAAATATTATTTTACATACCTGACGTTAAACTGCATGAACACTGCGGCATTATTACACATCAGCATGCAGCTGATTAGTGTGACCATGTTCCCAATGTGCGTTCTCTTATTAATAACACATTGATAACGCTATTTGCAGATTGAAAAGGTCGTAGATTGACCGGAAAATAAGCTGTTCCTGCTGTGTTAACGTATTACTCTGGTTACGCACGGCTACGTAAGATACTCTATACTGTATCTGTACATACGTAAGATTTAGACGCTAACAAGAGTGTTAAAAATCTTATAATGGGCTGATTTTCCTCGGCTTTGACACACAAAGCACTTCGATACACATGTACATGTACATGTACGAATACATGCAGATTGTTCTACACTGAACCAAGACTTTCAAAAAAGTAAAATTCGTTTTCAAATGTGCAACAAATTGTTTAAGTCCGGTCCGGTGCGAAATTACGTATCAGTGCAGGTATTCTGCGAACCGTTCGAAAAGTAACCTGCTCAGCAAGCACCTTACCAACCCCCTCCGAAATCAAAAATTTTTCATTTTTTGTAAAAAGGTAGTATATATTGAAGTATGATAAAAAAATATGTTCATCTGCCATCGTCAAGGGGGTGTGGCCAGACAACAATAAAACGTTTAAATACTGTCACATACTGTGTAATGCAGTGCAGTACAAGTTATTCGTAAGTATTATTATGGCATCTTTTTACTGCAACAACTTGGAATTTTGCGGCTGTCCTGTAGTGATATAAAATTAAAAGAAGCCAACTTGCGGCAGCTCGTGCCTTTGCTTCCTGAGTGCACATTTCGAAAATTTGTTAGGAAGTACAGCACGTATCTGCTCATAAGTAGAAAAAAGTTTTTCTGCACGGTTTATTGTTTACAAGCCTAATCGATAAAAAATTTTCGAAAATGTGTACTCGGGCAGCAGTGGCACAAGCCGCTGCAAGTTTGGCTCTTTTACATCACTCCTCGACAGCTGTAAAAGTCCACCGTGCTGCAGTAAAAACTAAAAAGTAAACATAATAATTACGAATAACTTGTACAGTACTGCACTGTATTACACAGTATCAAGTATGTGATAATATGTGCAATTTTAATTGTTGTCTGGCCACGCCCCCTTGACGATGGCAGATGAAAATACTTTTTTTAGAAAACTACAGTAGTATGCTACTTCTTTAGAAAAATGAGATATTTTTGAATTGGAGGGGGCTGTTTATTGACAATTTGTGAGAGCAGAACACTTCTATGGTTGGAAGGTGCTTGCTTCTTGGGTGAATCCGGGGTCTTGAGACGTTGGGAATTGGAGGGCCATTCCTCGAATTTGGGGCCTCTATGGTCCAGTTGCACCTCGCAGTGCTAGCTTCTCTGGTTACCTCAGCCGAAGCAGTTCTTTGTATCGCATGGATGCTCTTGCACGGAGCACCCTGTTGACCTTTAGCGGCCGACGCCACCGCTACTAACCCACGCACCATACACACGATGCACTAACGCTGTATTGCGAACTGTCAGTACACATAACAACACAGTGACGTCTGATACAACAAACTTGAAATTTAATTTAAATAAATGAACTTTCAAAAATGTAACTACTTTGTAAATAAACAAAAATTAATTACCTGAAATTATTTTCGAGAATTTTTTCAAAGTTTAAATAAAATACATAAAACAAGCCAAATTTTTTTACTTGTACTTTTCAGTTTTTATTCATACTGACCCATCCAATTATTCAGGTGATAGACAGAAGATTTTCTGTAGCTTTCGTTTTTGTTTCTTTATTTTGTCATTAAGAATGATTTGACAGAATACTGATTCATTCAGTTTACATGCGCATCATTGGCTGTTCGCGTCATAGGCTGTACAGTACATACAACTAAACCTAAACTAAACATGTTGATTCGAACACAAAAAAAATTAATGGTAACATTAGCAAAAATTTTGTAGCGTCGTTATCTGGCGTACCAACATCATTGATTGATTGATTGATTGATTTAGTTTCGAGTAGCCAAGCCCGTCGGCACATACATTAACGGCACATACATTAACGTGCCGTATTAACGGCACATACATTATACAAAGCGCGTACCAAAAGTAAGTTTCCCTACCAAAAGTAAGTTTCCCTAAGGCAATGGCATGAACGCTTGTAACCCTTATCAACCATTTTTTAGAAACGTCCTTTATTAACGTACTGAAATAAAATATAACTGTACTTAACTACAATTAAAGGAATAAGAACTGCCAAGAAAACGGTCTGAGGTTTTCCGCACCTTGCCATGTGTTTTACCCTGACAGTTTTTGATTTTCTTCTCAGTCTTCCTGCTCACTCTTCGTAAAGCACCAAATTTTATCAGATTAGAAATTCTTTTCTTTCCTAATTCCAAGTACGAAACAAAATAAATTTTTCACAACGCTTTTCCAGAAAACTAAAAACTTTCGATGACTACCGGTAGATGGGAAAACCACAAAGCTGCTCAAGGTTCCAGGCGGTAAAAAATTTAAAATTTCTTGTAAAACATTATTGCTGTCGGTAAAACTTGGAAGTCATGGTGTGTAAGATGCACATAACTGGTCATAAAATTTCCGTTTTATTGATGCAAAGAACTTTGGATTCATATCAGGAAGAAGGCTGAAAAGGGAGATTCTGGTGTCCTAGAGAGCAAAAATGTTTGCTCTACTCTGTGAATTTTCCGAAGGACGTAGCGCTGCATACGTCCACGGGTATATATATATATATATGTATGTATATATATACCTGTAGGTATGGATCCATGTCGAAT